GGTCTGGCCTGCAAGGGCCCTTGTCTAGGGGTGTCTTTCTGTGCTGGGCCCTTTGCCCAGGTTCCCCCTTGGCTGGCCCCACTTGCTCACCACACCTGGCTCTGTGGCTGCAGCTCTGCTCCCAGCACAGGATCTGCTCTCCCTGGGCTGCGTCTCTGGCTCTGGCCCGGTTCTGCTCTCCAGCTCAGCTTGGGCCCCTGCTCTCTCCTTAGCTCGGCCCCACGCAGTCTGACCCAGGCCATTCCAACTCACACGGAGGACGGGACCCACCCTGGCCTCCTGTCATGCTGATTAGCTGCCCGCCCTGTCAATCAGGCTTACCTGGAGCATTGGCCTCTCCCCATGGTTCCTGGGGACTGTCAGTCTCAGGGTCCTGATTTCCCATCGACCCCTCCCCTTTTAGTGCTGGGAGCAGCCAACCAAAACACCCCCACTGAGTGTTAGTAAGGGGGCAACAGTCCCCTTACACTTGCTTTAGGGCAGGGCTGGGGAACCTTTTTTCTATCACGGGCCACTGACTCACGGAAAAAAATCAATCCCGGGCCACTCACCCGCAGGGGGACAGAGAGGGGGCACAGGGGCTTCCCCCCGCAGCAGGCCGAGCCAGCGCTCTCGGCTCCAGCCCCACAGGGGGTCTAGGCAGTGGCGCTGGAACAATTTTTACTGTGGGGGAGCTGAAAGCCAGTGGTCCCCAAACTTTTTACCTGGCACCCCCCTTACCCCTGTCTGTGCCCCCTCTCCCCAGAGCTGGGACCAAGACTGGGACGTGGCTCCGGGAGGGTGGGGCAGGATGTGGACAGGGGTAAGGGGTCTGAGGCTGGGACCACAGCTGGGGATGGAGCAGAGCCCTGGGTGCAGGGCCAGCTGACATGACCCTGCGTGCGGTACCAGGGGCAGAGCCCCGGGCAGGGGTCCAGCAGCCAACTGGGACCCTGGGCGTGGAGCTGGTGGCTGGGACCCCACGCAAAACCTGGGGGGTGCTTCAGCACCCTCCACACTCCTAGTTCCTGCAGCTCTATGCAGAGACTTGGATCTTCCCCCCACACCGGGGAGAGTCAGCACTTGCGGCTCCATCCCCGTGGTGGGGGAGGGGACCGGCGGAGCTGCGGGCCGGATGAAATTTAGCAGCAGGCCGGATCTAGCCCTTGAGCCGTAGGTTCCCCACCCCTGCTTTAGAGATTCTCCACATTTTATCCTCCAGGGCTGTCAGGAAGGATGAGACAGTTTACTAAGTACGAACGGTTCAAGGGCAGATGTAAAGTTGATTGAATGCTAATCAGTGAAAAAGTGTCTGTGTGTGGGTCTGTCTGTGAATTATGTGTTGGTTTCAGAGGGTTTGTTTACACAGCAATTAAACACCTGTGGCTGGCCCGTGTCCGCTGACTCCGGCTCACGAGGTTCGGGCTCGGGCTGGAACCTGGGCTCTGTGACCCTCTCCCGGCACAGGGTCCCAGAGCCCAGGCCTCTGCCCAAGCCCGAGCATCTACACCGCAATTAAACAGCCCCATTGCCCGAGCCGTGCGAGCCCAAGTCAGCTGTCATGGGCCAGCCACAGGTGTGTAATTGCTGGTAAAACATCTCTGGGTCTGTCATGTAACCTTAGGTCATGTCCTTAGTTTTTAATGTTTGGGGTTATTTTTTAGTGAGGTGTGTAATGGTTTGTACTGGTGTGAATTGCACTTAACCTCCTTAACTAGAACTTCATAAAGTTTATTTTGTTTTCATTTTGCTTTTGTGTTAGAACATTAACAATGTGAATATATTCCTCAACATGACAATTCATCTTTTTCACCCATTTCTTCCTCTAGACTCACTGTCATCTAAACCTCAGTGGGACAAAGGTAAATTTCTGGGATCAAAGCGGGAGTGAAAACTTTCCTATGAATTATGGTGGCTCATTGGCAGCACCATAGTTCAGGTTATGTTTCAATTTTGCATTTGAGAGGAGCTGAGCAACATATTACTGGTGGCTGCCCAGATCTTTCCTAAAAAGAGAAAAGTCGATTCTTTTCTCTCTTAGAATTTAGAATTATTAACTAGTGGTTGGGTTAAGCAGATGGGCTGGGGTGCGGGAGAGGGGGTGAGCAGTTTATCTCCGTAGAGATCTAAGTTAAAATGAGCCTTTAGGAAAATCAGAGAGGACCATCTCACCTCATTTTCAGAACTCTTTATGCCCATACATCACATCCCCTGGCAATATTATTATTATTAGCAAATGCAGAAGTGGTACAATGAAGAATTGGAAAATTCAACATACAAAAATAGACATTTCTGTTTCCTCTCTCTATTTTATAAATCAAAAGTAAAAATGTTCAAAATGTCCAAAGGGGTTAGCTAGACATCACCTATTTGCAGACATGCCAACTCTCGCAAATTAATCATGAGAGATGCGATTTCTGAGTAAAATTAAGCCTCACTCTTGATCTCACCATAGAGCTGTGGCTGAAAAAAAATCCCGACATTTGAGAGTTCTAAAAATGAGGCTTAATGTTACTTAGAAATCCTGTCAGCTGCCCTGGGCACGGCTGGGGGGTCCCACTGTCACCACCCCAGGGTAGCTGCTCCCCTGCCAGCCTGGGAAGTGGGAGAGGGCACCCCACTGTAGCCACCAGGCCCAGGGAGGGTGAAGAACCCCAGGAGGGGCAGAGGTGAGGCTGGAGGGTGTTATTATGCCCTGGGAGCTGCAGGGGGCCTGAAGTGATCGGGGGGCTGATTGGCTGGGGGGGCTGTATTGCTGGTGGGTTCTGAGCAGATAGGGTGAGTGTTGGCAGGGTGAACTGAGAGCAGTGGGGTAGGGGTGCTGAACTGATGGGAAGTGATAATGGGGGCTGGGGGACTGAATGGGGGGGTTGGATGGGGACAGAACTGATGGAGTCTGGGGGACAGGATTAATTGCTGGGCTCGAGACGGGCAGATGGGGGGTGAGAGCTCCTGCAGCAGGAGCCAAAATCCCCTTCCCCAGTGCATGTGGGAGAGTGGGCAACACTGATTGTCACATGCGCACACCCTGGGGAGGGGCCGGGGGAGTTCAAACATCC